GACTGCGTTTGACACCGGGGTTTTTAAACACTGGTTTTGATCTTCAAAAACAATTCAGTTTTTCTTTTCCTTTCGATCATCTGAAAGGCATGGTGCTTGGCGTACGGGTAACTTCTCGTTCTGTTTCCGAGTTTGTTTTCTTTTCCATGTCTGTAGGTCAGAGAAGCCCAACTGGGATTACCATGCAGAGATACAAGCTTTTAGCCACCGGTTACATGAAAATTTTTCTTTGGATCTTCTCAAGACCGCATTTGTTAATTCTTGTTATATTGAAAGTGAAGAGGCAAGACGCCGAGAACTTGGGCTAGACAAAGAAACGGTTGTGCTTAATCTACAAGATAATAGTAAACTTGCTGAACAAGGGATGTCTTTTTCACGTTCTTACCTGACGCAATGCTTTGAAGGTGCCTACCCAGATTTGCCTGCAGAGGGGATAGGAGCACTTGTTGATTTTCTTACCAGTCAGGAACTTGTTTCTTATGTGGCTCAAAACCTGTCTGTGCAGGACCTGACGCTTTGCAAAGAGTTTCCTGTCCCACCAGATGTGTTACAGAGGACGTTCTTTGCTGTAATAGGAGCCTTGCTCGATAGCAACGGGCCTGAGAAAACGGGGATCTTTGTCAGAGTAAGTCATTACTTATCATATATTTTTGTACTGACAATGGTAACATCTAAGGGTCTCGGAAGTTACAAGAAAAAAAAGGCAAAAAAAAAAAAAAAGTCTTGTACGTTGATGGCTGGAGATCCAGGGAGATTGGCAGAAGTTTGACAATACGTGTAACAAGACAACTTAACAATGAGATCTGTTGGGTGGTGGTGGTGGTTGGGTGGGGTTTTGGGGGGTTTTGGGATAGTGGGTATTTTGGTTTTGTGTTTGTTTTTTTTTTTTAAGAAGTACAGGCTGGTCAAGTACATAAAGTCATATACTTCTGGTTTATAATAGTGATATGTTAGTATTTGCTGACACTTGGTAAGGGAAAGTGTTATATTCCATGCACTATACTATCAAATAATGAAATTATTCCGTGTAAGGTCACATATATCTTCAATTTAAAAAAAAAACATTTTATATCAAGCAGGGGCTGAGTTCATAGGTTTTGCATGTAGGAGTGCAAGCACCTAAAGGTATTTCGTACAAAAATGTTCAATTAAAATGCAGTGTAACAAGGTAGTTTTAGCACCTACTGTGCTTTCAAGTCGTCCTTTTCACTTGTATCTAGTTTTGCAATGGAGAGATGTTTGTTAAAATCTTATTTCTGATACAAGACCGTTGAGAGGTCTCTGTAAGAGCAAGTAGCAGTTAACAGGCAAGAGATGATCCGAACATGTGAAACTCCCGTGGGTTTGCGTGTTCCCTTCAACCTGTGTGCAGAACTCCTCTGATGTACAACTTCTTTCTTGGAAGCAGCACTGAGTTGCTTACCTCGTGCTTGGAGCTGTGCGTAAGCATTGTTACAACTCCTCTCTCAGGCTGGCGCTGTTCCTTCTTTAGGTCTGGGCAGTTGACTTTTCCCAAGGCGCATATCCCCTCAGTGGCTAAATCAGACCCAGAGCTGCCGAGCGTGGCAACACTGGTTAGCTGCGCTTAGCTGTGGTGGAGCACTGAGGCAGTTTTCATCATTCATTTCAGCAGTTTATTGTCAACTGTATTAATGCCTCTTCATATTGTATTTTTATTAGGAGACACCAGAAGCTAGAGCCTTCATTACCTTTCCCATTAATTGTAACTTCTAAATATTCTTGTTTAGGATTTTTTAATTCCACAACTGATTGGAAAAGACCTGTTTGAGATCTGGGAAGTTGTAAATCCTATGGGCTTACTAGTGGAAGAACTGACCAAGAGGAATATCTCTTCTCCAGAACCAAGAATTACCAGGCAGTTGGGAGTCAGCACGGTTCTGCCACTGTACTTTGTTGGGTTGTACTGGTTAGTACAATATTAATTTAAAGTGAAATGGATTTAAGCTGGGGGAGAGGGGAGGAGGGAAGATTGCCTTTTACTTTTCTACTTGTGCTCTTTGGTCAAGTTATTACAGAAATCAGCCATTTAAGCGTTGGCCATAGCTTGCTGTAATGATGCATAAAAAGACAGTCTCTGACTAAAGGGCTTCAAAGTCTAAATTGGGCTCACGAAAGAGTCTGGGTGTATGTTCGGGGTGACCTGACATAGGAACTTTGCCAGTAGCGTAACTGAATGGCTTTGGAGGGTCCACAGCTGTATCCAGGGCTTAGGGAAGGGTAAAAAGACATGGACATCAAGGGAGGTGGGATTGAAGAGAGACTTATTTTATATTCCAGAGAAGTTTTTTAGTTTTCAAATTGCAGGCACTGTAAACTAGGCAAGAGGAGCGTCTCTATCCAGACAAGACGTAGGAAATAACAGTCATCCCCGGCGTGCTTGTCTCAGGCGTGGCCAGTGCTTGTCCTGGTCTCTTGCCCAGGGGTAACATTGCTCCTCTGCAGCAGGACAGGACCTTCTTCCACCAAAACCCACACCGCTGTTGCTTTGCTAAATGAGCTGCAGATAAATGCATAGGAAGATTGCCTTAACTTGTTCTGATTTATCATGCTTTGTTTTATATGCCTTCTAAGATTTTTTATCTTATGTAAAAGAAAGGAACTTTGATTATTTTTCTTCTGGAATCCCTGGTGCCCCTTCACAAACTGTTCCTATTCAGTGCCCATAGATGTTGATTGAATAGAGCTGAGTACATGCTTCATAACATAGAGAACTTCTCTGTGAATCCTTTTGAAGAAGTTTTAAAATGCTTTCTTACCAGGGGAGGAGAAAAGACAAGCATTTCAATTCTTTGTTTAAGCTAACCAGAGTAATGAATTTGCATATTTTTAACAGGGCTAACAAATGGAACACTGTAAAGAATCAGTGATATGTTAGGAATCAGAAAAGTGATATATGAGGAATCTAAATGAACAGAGTAGTGTTCTTCCAGGAAATGAACGCATTTCTGATTTGAGTTTCCATTGTTGAATATACAATCACTTATCTTTGCAGGAAAGACCAACGGAAATGTTTACATTTGTGTGTATATAGAAATTACCTTCAGTATTCACAGACATTGGAGGAAAAAAAAATCTAGCAGCCCTTATTCATGATACACAGTAGTGCTCAGGATTTGGTGATGAAAATGTTTTTAATTTTTTTTTTTCCCCCCCAAGCGATAAGAAGATTATAGCTGAAGGTCCTGGTGAAACGCTGCTTGCTGCAGAGGAAGAAGCTGCCCGCGTGGCGCTGCGGAAGCTGTATGGGTATACAGAGAACAGGAGACCTTGGGATTACTCAAAACCCAAACAAGGATTGGCAGCTGAAAAAGCTATCAGCAGTAACTAGATGATAAAAGACATTTCTGGTTTCTCTTAAGAATTAATGGCTTCTGTGCTGAATATAGATGTATTTAGGAAAGCCAAATTCAGTTCGGTTTTCTGATCTTCAGTGCTTAAAACTTTCAAATCAAATATACTATTGAAATAAATAAAGGCTTTTCTTTTTGCACAATGTTTAATATTTGCTCATTTTCCTACATAACAAAAGTATCCTTATTCTGAATTTTTGCCTTTTGGCTGAGAAGTTTTTCCATACATCACAGGAGACCATTTTTAATGATGTTTAATAATGTGTGACAAAATCTCGCTGTATAGAAAAAGGTTTCATGCTTCCTTGGAGACTGTTTTGAGGGTATTGTTAATAAGATGAGTTGAATTACATATGCAACATTCGTCTTTGGATTGCATTTGGATTCATTTGTCCTTGACCTTGTGAAAACATCAAAAGTGATGTTGATGATACCAAGACTGTTGGTGATTCAATTTAAAAAGAAAAAAAAAGTGCAAATGGCACTTTTGAGGTTTTACTGCTTGCATACAAATTTTATTTGCCACACACATTGGTTTCTATTGTTGGAGCATGCTCTGAAAGAGGGTTTATTTTTAATTTTTAAATTTGTAAAAATTTCTCTACTGCAAAACTAGAAATAAGTGAAAATAAGGATCATGAAGGCCTGAACCCAAAGAAATTGGAGAACATGATTTAATGATAGGCTGTTAGATAAGCTTTCTTTTTTCTCTTTTTTTTTTTTTTTTTTTCTCTTTTTGGTACTTTTCCTGTTTAGTCCAGGTACTTCATTTCTCTCCTGTCTTTTGGCTGCTTAATTTAAGCAGTCATGTGACTAAAATATTGGATTCAGTGAAATCGGCATTTGTTTTGTTGGCACCGTCTGTAGCTGTTCTAATGTAACTCCAAGTAAATGGAAAGTCACTTAGGAAAAACACGGGTACCTGCATGATGTTCCTGTTAAATGTCATAGAAATTCAGTATGTGTACCAGAAGACAACAGATCCATGAGGACTGTGACTCTTTTGGAATAATTTCCTTTAAAATTGAGTAAGAGCCTGTTAGAAACTGGGACTGAGCCCTCAAAGGAAGAAAGGAAGAAGCTGAATGTAGGACAGTGGTTAAAGAAGTGTTTCCTGCCTTATCCTATTGGGAGCACTGGCTGTAAAAAAAAAAAAAAAAAAAAAAAAAAAAGACAACAGGTAAGTGTGCCTTCACTAATCGGGGAAAAAAATATGCAGGTGGCCATTCAGACAGGTTTGATGTTACTGTCCGTGACGACGTGCATCCTTTGCCTTCGGCCCCCAGGATGGATTTATGTGAAGGACACTCAGCAGCGCAAGGTCCTGGGCTGCGGTCGTGGCTGCTAAGCAGATCTATGGTGCAGCGCAGGTGGCACGTTCACTGCTGCCCCTGGCATGGGAATGAGTTCTGACTCTGGGCTACTTGACGGAAACAGCTTTATTAGTGTATTCAAGCAAAAGAACTGGGTGGCTGCGATCCGTGTGTGTCTTCAGTATTTGGTGTGACCTGCATCTCAAGCGTGTATAAAACGCCGGTGTGGCTGGATAGCAGCGAAACCTTTCTTCTGCATTCTGGCATGGGAGACTACGTGTGTGAAAGCTTGAATATAAAAAGGAGAGCAGAAAGATCAGTCTAGCATAAAATATGCATAAAATTGCTTATGCTAAGTGAAAAGTTCCAGCTAGGTAATCTATTATCGTTTATATAAGCAAAGCCAATAAGGTCACTATATTCCAGGGGAATAATAGCAAAATCTGAAAAGAGGATAGAAATTACTCATGCTATTTTTAGTTTCCGGATGAGGTATTTCTCTTACCTTTACCCATTTTAAAAGGACAATAGTGAAGGTGGGTTTTTTTATATCCAAAGTTTGATCTACCTACTATTTTTTATATACATATTTATGTATTTTGAGAGAGAGAAAAAAGCAATTTTCTGGCAGTTTACCTTAAAAGAATGTTTAAGATCTGCTTACTGTGGCTTTACAGTTTGGAATATGGACATAAGTCCGAGGAAAAGTGGATTACTGAATAGTGTGCTGGAAAAAAAAAAACGAGTAATGCAAGATAAATCAATTTATTGTGTAGTACATGTATGGAATGTCTTGAGCTCAAACAGAAAGACAGTTTGGGGACATGGTAAGAAAGGACTGGGTTTTTATAGAGGTGTGAGTGAAAAAGGCGTTTTTATAAGAAAACGTGTCCTATTTTCAAGCTTCCATAGGTCAGAAAAGCATTTTATATCATATTCGTGCTTTAATTTCTGGCACTCACGCATATATTTAAGGATCTACCGTTGCAGTAGTGGGATCATTTACATACTTCAGATTAATAACTACTCTTTTTTCTTCTTTTTTTTTTTTCCCGAATCAGTAGCCATAAACAACATCTAAATGGCATTAAAAGATTGGTTAGATTTACAGAAATCAGTATCTGCAAAGTCTGGTGAAAACGGCAGCTTTTCTTCTAGTAGAAACATTGTTCATGAAATTCCATGATAGTTTTGTTGTCTGAAAAGTACTTTGTAAGCTACTTGCATTGGTTCTGACCCAGGTGCTGTTTACAAATGCATTTATGTCCCCCAGTGGTTGTTCCTTTCTTAAATCACATTTTATTTATCTTTCAGAGAAGACAATGGATCAAGCAGCGTGTCAATAATTGACTGACACAAAGGAATCAGGACAGTTTATTCTTGCAACCCATTGAACAACTCACTGATTATTGTTATGAATATTATCTTTGTAAGCTTAATGGTAGAAAAGGATATGGTTTTTAGCATTCGTGGAATTTTGGAATAGGTTGACATCATCTCAAGAGGCAAGTTTGATTATGCTTTCCTGTATGCCACCTTTTAACCTTATCTGATGCAGATATTTCTGTTACTGTATTTGCATTTATCCTTCCTTTAACTCATTCAAACCTTATCTCAAGATTTTTTTTTAAGTGAAAATTATGATTGGTAAACCAGAACACCAATAACAGTATTTCTGCACTAACTTAAAATATGATGTCATGTGTGTACTAACAGCTACATTTTGACAAAAGTACAGTACTATATGCTAACCCTTTTTTTAGCTTTCTTTTCCTTCTTGATCTTTGTATTAATTTGCATAAGTATGCTAATATGCTTAAACATAGATATAAGTCAAATTTTGAAATAAATGGACTACTAGTCATTAATCCATTAAAAGCAATGGCAGTTTTGCTATTGATTTTGGTCTGGACTTGGTTTTATTCCAAATGTTAAACAAACTCAAAGTCTGAATAGTCTTGGATTACTCTGTCATCTAGATCCTTTGTCTTTTTCATGAAAGTGTTTTAAAAGTTATTTTATTTTGAGAAAGGTAAGAGAAGTTCTACTGTATTGGTCCCAGCTAAGTAATTGGAGAAAAACAACGTAATACGCTTTCATGTACTTTATTAAGTTACTTCTGTTCTCGGTATGTGCTTTTGCTCCTGTGTTTCGAGCTGTTCAGTAATGTGATTGAACACTCTGTATTATCTCCTTGTCTTCAAGTGCAGCTGCTTCTGGTTACAATAACCAAACATTTTGCTGTAATTTTCTCTTAAAAAAACAAAAAACAGTCCAGGAATAATTCTTGTGTTAATTGTTGCTGTGACTCAAAGGCAGGAGATTAAAATACAATCACTTTACAGTTATCTCCATGTTAATTCAGAGTTCGAAATTGCTGGTGAAAAGTGAAAGCTTTTATTGAAATTTCTTATACCAAACTCATTTGGTTTTTATGATAAATCAAAAATTTAAGTAAGCTGCTCTGGGGTTATGTTGCTATAAAAAGCCATGAAGAATTCAAAACATCAAAAGATGTGTTGTCATTCTTTTTTGCAGGGCAGGGGGAGAGGGATGATGCAGAAACATTAGAAGAGACCTACTTTTTCTTGTCCTTAGCTTTACTGGGTGCTGTGGTAAACTTTAAACAGGCTCTAAACTATTTGGTTTCTCTTACATCTGAGCTTTGGAGTTTAATATTAAGAGGTGCATTTAGTGTAGAGAAGCAAACATCCAAGGACAGATTGTTTTTATCTTTTCAAATTGATTCCGCTGATCTAATGGCACTAGTTTTGTGTGTTTACCATTTCAGCTTGTCTAAGAAATTGTTGATGGATTGGGAAGATATTGGTCAGTAAATCGCCACTGTCATAGCGCATAGTGGAAACACAGTTGATCTGCGTGACAGAATCAGCACATTGAAGGCTGTCGGTGATTCTTTAAATCACGGGGCATGCTGCAAAGCAGCTCTTCATGGTGCACCTAAAAACTGGGGCTGGTCGTCTTTGGGATAAAGGTAGCTCTAGGGAGAAGGTAAACGTTATCATCCCTTTCTGTTTTTGTGTAGTAAGTGTAATGTTTCTGCCAGTCTGTGGCAGCTATGCTTGTGACTGTGCCCTTGAACTTCCAGTTTTATAGAATCATAGAATCATTAAGGTTGGAAAAGACCTCTAAGATCATCGAGTCCAACCATCAACCCAACACTACCATGCCCACTAAACCATGTCCCTAAGCGCCTCATCTACACGTCTTTTAAATACTTCCAGGGATGGTGACTCCACCACTTCCCTGGGCAGCCTGTTCCAAGGCCTGACCACTCTTTCAGTAACGAAGTTTTTCCTAATGTACAACTAAACCTCCATTGGCGCAACTTGAGGCCATTTCCTCTCGTCCTGTCGCCAGTTACTTGGGAGAAGAGACCAACCCCCACCTCGCTACAACCTCCTTTCAGGCAGTTGCAGAGAGAGGTAAGGTCTCCCCTCAGCCTCCTCCAGGCTAAACAGCCCCAGTTCCCTCAGCTGCTCCTCATAAGACTTGTGCTCCCGACCCTTCACCAGCTTCGTTCAAATATGTTATCTGAATTGCTACAGTGCAGGTATTGTGCGACTATCAGGGACCTCCTGGATCATCCAGACAATCCGTCACCATCACAGCTGTGTCATGTGATCCTTTTCCTAAACAGATTGAGCTCCGTTTTAGAAGCATTAGATCTTTTGCTCTTGTTGCTCCAGCTGGGGACAATTACAGAACCTCACTGTTCTGATATGGGAATTAAAAATTATGCCTTACCTCTGTAAGTATTCATTGCCAGGTGTGCTCAGTTGTT